CACCCTGAGACAGCCGCCAAACGCGACTGGGCACTAACATCAGGAGCCGCTCGAACATCGCGGCGATGCCGATGCTGGCCTGGAACTGCTAGAACTTCGCAACCTCGCCAGGCAGCTCGAAGCTGGGGCAGCCCCTGGCGCGCTCGAGGTGCCGATGCCGCAGCGCGCCCAGCTCCTGCGGGCGACGCTCTCAGCGCGGCGCCGGCGCGAGTCTTGGAGCCGCCTCGCGCCTGCGCTCGCTGAGCCACAGGCCGTGCACCAACGGCGACCTCGCGCGCCCCCTCCGTTTGTCGCCCAGCGGCTTCCACCTCGCGGCCCTCGACGGAGGAGGCCCTGCCTGCGTTGAGCCCCCTGAGGAGCTGACTGACAAAAGCCCCGCCCCCGATGGCGCCCTGGCGGGCCATCTGCTCGAGGTGCCACGGCGAAGACACCGCCACCTTGATCAGCTCCTGGGCCTTGGGCTTGACCCGCCGCGCGAAGCCGCGGGCGTCGCGGCCCAGCCGCCCGAGGGGCATCGCAGCAGCGGATAATGGCCCTCGCACTTGTGCCCAGCTGGCGACGCGCCCGGCGCGGCCGTCGAACGCAGCCTTCAGCGCGCCGATGGGAATCCACCCTTTCCCAGACCACGCGCGCCAGGGCCTAGAGCAGCGCCGGGGGGGCGCCGAAGATTGGGTCAATCTCGCGAGGGCCGCCAAAGACGAGGCAGCTCGTGGTGGACTTGCCCTGCGGCCTCGGCTGAATCGCCCTGCGCGCCAGAGCGCGAGCCCGGCGCAGCTCGCTGTCAGAGACGCCCGCGAACGAGACCCCGCGAACGATGCCGGGCACGAGGCCTGCGAACGCGACCTCGGCGGCAGCCGCTCGGCTACGGCGCGGCCCAAGCAGCCTCTTGACACGCGAAAGCCTTCCCTTCGCGTTGGCCACCCCCATCTCCCCGACCGCGCTAGCTCGACGGCCGCCTTCAGCGCGGTCGACGCCAACGTTGCGCGCGCCGGTGACTGCCAGCACAATGCCCCCTTGAACAGCTCGCCCTGGATGCCGTTGCGCAGCTAGGTCGCGCCGGCAAGCGCCCTGCACTTCTCGGCCGCTACATTGAACTACGCGCGCGCGAGCCCCTTGACCAAGGTCTTGGCGCTGGCGAACAAGCCCTTCTCCACCTTGCCGCTGCCCCCCCAGGCGCTGATGGGCCAAGTCGTCGGCGACCGCGGCCGGCACCGCGGCGGGGCGCTTCAGCGCCGTCGCATCCAGCGGCGCGAAGAGCATCATCACCTTCACGAACGCGGTCGCGATAGCGCCCCCCGCCAGCGCGGTCTGCACAATCGCAAACTCGTCGGAGCAGCAGCCTCCCAGGCAGACAACCCCGGGCGCCCTGCGCGCCTTAACCTGCAGCTTGGCCAGCCAGGGCGGGAAGTCGAGCTGCCGGCAAGCCTGCAGGACATGGCCGCGCAGGATCTGCTCGAAGGCCGCCCAGAGGTCGAGCAGGATCGAAGCCGAGGCCCAGCCCCGGTGCTCGTGAAGCACGCTCACCCTATGCCTCCGCTCCGCGCTGAGCTTGCTGCTGCCGCACGGCGCGGACACAGCTCTCGCCCGCGCTGGCCCACAAATAGGGCCTGCCATTCTCACTCTCCCGCTGATTTGCCCATGGTCGGCGACGGCGCCCGCGCGCGCCCACAGAAATGCAGCGGGCCTGAGCCCGCCGCCCGACATCGGGGCGAAGGCAAGCTCGGTGAAAAAAGTCGGGCCACTCGCAGGCCAGCTCGACGTTGACGAAGAGATCGATCACGGCCCCGATGCCCCGGTCGCCCACCAGCTGCAACCCCCAGGGCCTGGGCGAGTCGAAAGACGAGTCCGTGGCCTCTCTGAAGTTGCCGATGACCTTCCTGACCTCATCCGCTGTGGGCCGCGGCAGCCACTCGCCAAGCTGCCCGGGCCGGTCGGCGCGGGCCTCCTGCAAGCTGGCGCCAGTGGGAGCGGGGGCCCCCGCGCCCCAACACCCTGACCACTCCTTTACTAAGGCTCTGCCGGTCTCCTGCAGGGCAGGAAGGGGGCCGCCCAGGGACGCGCGCTTGGGCCGAGGAGCCCAGCCTTGCGGACGCGTGGCAAGGGCGCGGAAGGCCCCCGCACGTCTGGCGCGGTGGTCGATGACCCAGTCGCAATTGCTGATCTGCCTGGCGCCTGCTTCCTTCTGGGCCATGGCGTCGGCGACGGCGTCGACGCGGGCCGCGACGCCCCCCCGACGGCCCAAGGCCGCGGCGGCCCCCGCCAGGCCGAGGTCGCGACGGTGCCGAGGTCCAAGGCCGTGACGGTCTCCGCCAGCGCAGCGAAGATCGTCTTCGCGCCCAGGGGCTGCGTCTCGTCGGCGGCGGCATTGTTGCCCTGCTGGGTGGAGGCGGCCTCGATGGCGCGGCCCTCGGGGCCCTCAGCGCGCCTCGCCCCCGCCACCACCTCGCCGCGCAGCAGCCTGCCGAGTGCGCTGAGCGCCCGAAGCCGCCGAAGAGGCAAGTCGATCTGGGCGCAGTCCTCGATGGTAATAGCCACGCTCTTGTGGCACATCGCGCACTTGGAACATTTCGGGATGCGAGGTGGACTGGGCGCCGCCACCTTCGTCATCCTGAGCGCGGGCCTCACGGCCCTGCGCGAATGCGCCCTGTCGTCACGCGCCAGGCCCAACGCGTCGATGATGGCCCGCCCGGCCTGGCGAATGAAGGGCTGATTCTCGGCGTCGAGGGGGCGCGTGCCAGCCGTAGCTTGGCGAGCCGCCTCGAGCGGGCGAGCGCGCCCCCTGCTGCAGCACCGCAGCGGCGTGGGGCACGGGGACCTCTCGGGCGCGCCCATGACCTGCAACTCCTTGGCGACCGATCCTCTTGCGGAGCCAGGTTCCACCTGTGGAGTACTGTGGAGTACTTCCGCTGGGGGGTCGCCGCAAGTAGCGCTGGTGGCCCACTAGTCGACGATGCGCCCTACAGGGCGGCAGGTGCCCTCGTCGGGGCCGACCGCCTTGAGCTTTTGCGCGTTCAGGAATCATGAGCCAGGTTGAAATCCCCGCCGATGACGATGGGCTCGCCGATCTGCCTCGCCGCGCGGTAGACCGACTGCATCACCTGAAAATCGGACATGCCCTCGCAGTCCTTCAGGCACACCTTGAACCAGGCTACGCCTCCAGGGACGACGCCAGCGAAATGGGCGACGCAAGCGCGCCCTTCATCTCGAGAGCAACCAAGCCGCAGGCTCGCGGCACCAACTGCAACAGCCCCCCGCGGTCGTGGAGGCCTGGGCCTGCGCCCACCGCAGGACCCGCAAAGGCGTGCCAGTCCTGCTTCACCAGCTTGACGGTCACCCCTGAGCACCGAAAAGCGGCGGGGAGTCTCCTGCGCCGCGATCGCGTCCGTGTTCCGCACTGCAATCTCAGCCAAAAGCGGTTCGAAACTGCTGTAGGCGTTTGGCGACGATGGTCAGCGCAGTCCACCACCGCCGCCCGTGCGAGCTACGATTCGGCAGTTGGCTTCTTTGCAGAGCGATGGAGGTCGAGGGCCTCGGCAATGCGCTTGCGCTCGCACTCGTCGCCGCAAGCGCCAAGCAAACCGCCTGGATCAGCAGCAGCCATGAAAGTGTCGAAGGCCTCCTCTGGCGCAGGCGCGCGCTGGCCACCGCCAGGGGCCTCGGGAGGCCCACCTCCTGCAGCACCCGGTGAACCTTCGCCCCCTGCCTCTCGCCCTGGTCCGAGAGACCCCTTGACAGGCTGCGCGGGCTCTGGGGGGGCGGTTGTCGCTTTGAGTTCTTGGACAGCTGCCTGGAACGACTTGAGGAAGTCCGCAAGTGTGACCCCGTCGGTGAGGAGCTCGCCAAGTTTGATATTGAACCCCTGGAGCGAAAGTCCGCCTGAGACCTTGACCCCCCCGCCGTAGAGCTTAGCAGCCTCCAGCTTGGCAGCCCCGAGTGCCTTCTCCAGTTTCGCGACCTTTGCCACCGACGAAAGCACCGGCTCCAGCACCCTGGGAGCCTTATCGCTATTATTTGCCAGACGCTCATCGGCTTGTAGAAGAGCCCGTGCAGCCTTGTCGACCGCCTGAAGAGCTTCGCGACCAGCAGCACAGAAAAACCCAGCAAATGCAGCGCGCCGTGCGTTTTCGACCTTCGACATGGAAAAACGAAAGAGTGCACACTTCGTCTCCTCGTAGGTCTCGAAGAGAAATCCCGACCACTCACGAACCTCGTTAGCGCTGGGCGTCGCACGAGATGGGGTTTGCTGTCCACTGTCGCCTCCGCCTCCCGACATGTTGCCCACGGCTTCCTCAACAGCGCACACTTTTGCTTGGTGTTTGTCCACCGCGGCAGCCCGACCAGAATTCGGTTCCTTTTTCGGCCCGCCGTTGTTCCAGAGATTACGTGGCTGAGGTTCGACCGCACCACAGCCTCCGCATGTCCGTCGGCCCGTGGTAGTGAACTCCCTACACATGCACTTCCAGTACTCAGCCATGGCGCCACACAGCAGATCACTACCCACACAGACAAAAGCAGAGGAGTTTACTGGACACAAGGGTGCCAGAGGAAAGAAGACTGAGGGCGAGTCGCGGACTAGCGGTATCCGTGGTTTCCCGATGGAAAGCACAGTCTTGAGCCAAAATGGCTACGGGGCGGCGGCCGATAATAAAAACGTGTTCTATCGGTTGCGCCATGGGTTGCGCCCTTGGCGGCCGAGAATAAAATCGTCTCCTATCGGTTGCGCCATAAGTTGCGCCCTCGGCAGCCGAGAATAAAACTGTCGCGTAACAGGTGCGACCAGTCTGTTCAGTTCAATTCAATTGAATTTACCTCGCGAAGAACAAATTCGGGCTACGCCCGAAAAAAAACGACTGGAGTCCTGGACCCCATAATTCTGCTGCATATACTGGGCCGGATCGATCTGCGAGGGCCCCAAGGCTCGGGACAGGGCACAATCGCCCGCAGTGAAAAAATGCCACGCCGGGCTCTCGAGGTCGTCCGCCATGACCCTTCCCCGCGGCCTGAAGGCCCTCAAAATCCTCTCAAGGTCGTCCCCGGTGGCCGCGAGCTCAGGACCGTCCCTGTTCAGCACCGCGCGCAAGTCGCGGAGCAGCTGTTCCAGCGCGCCGCCGCGCCTCGTTCGGCGGAAGGCGGGGGGGAAGGCGCAAGACAGGAGGAGGCAGGAGGAAAGGGGAGAGGGACGGGCCTGACATCCTGCGGTGGGTTCGTTTTCCTCCACCACCACCACCCTAAGTTGGAGGGGGAGGGGGTCCTCCTCACCCTCCTCGTCCTCCTTCTCCTCCTCCTCCTCGTCCTCCTCCTCCTCTTCGTCCTCCTCCTCCTCCTCGTCCTCCTCCTCGTCCTCCTCCTTCCCCCCATCCAACTTATGGTGATGGTGGTGGAAAACAAGCCCATCATCCTAGCATCGTGGCAAGTTCACGACGCAGGGCGCTTGGCAATTGGCAGCAGAGGGCGAGGCAGAGGGAGGCAGGGAGGAAGGGGCCCTGACATTATGGCGTGGCAGAAAAAACGGCGTATACACGTGCCGAGTTCTGGCCTCGGGAGAACGCTTGCCGGGCCCAGGGGCCGTCAGACGGCCCTGGAACAAAACGGGCCCTGCAGGGGACTCACGGCGTAAGGAAAAACGACGTAGGAGTTACATGGGGAGAGAGTTAGAGGTAGGAGGGGGGCCAACGGGGGAACGGGAGACCAATCCCACAAAGGCCAAAACGGACGAAAAACGGTGGCACGGAAAACCCCAATCCGCCCGAAATCCAGCCCCCTACCCTCCCCTCCCCTCCCCTCCGTGCGCGCGACGACGGCGACTTCACGCGCCCAAAATGGGGACGGACAAAAACTGTAACGATGCTTGACAACACATGTTGTCCAAAACCGACACTGGCCGCTGGCGGAAGGCGGCGTTCGTCCTACATGGATAACGCCTCTGGGGACACCCACATCGAGTCCCACACAAGACTGTCGTGAACTGCCGCTCTTTCTCGCCCCTTCTATTTCGATCGTGCCGGTGATCAGTCCAGGCGCACTCTCCTTTGTTTGGGGTAGCTTCAGCCACGGAGCCAAAAGTTCCCATTACGTTTCGGATGGTTTCTGAGCCCTGGTTTGCCCACGAAGGCGGCCAAGTTCCAACTCTGATTTCCGAGCGCACGCCCAAACGCGATGACGAGGGCGGCCACGAAATGCGAACAGCAAAAGCCGCTTGGAATTGCAGAACCAGCAAGACACGGGAGGGGGGCGCGCGCGCGCGCGCGCGCCCCCCCCGCCCCCCGCGCGTCGCGCCCACACCGCTGAGCTCAGATGCTGCTGCGGTCAAAGGTCGAGACAGGGGGAACGCGCGGAACGCGAGGGAAAGGACGGCCGGGAAGGTACAAAGGCCCCCCGACACCCAAGTGGGGCCACCGCTATGTAGCACCCCGCAGTTGCGGATAACAGTGAGGGGGCGGGCGCGGGGAGGTCGTGAGTGGGTTGCAGGCGGGTCGCGCGGTGGGTCGCAGGAAAAATTCGCGCGTGGATTGCGGGTGTGTCGCGGGTGGGTCGCGGGCGGGTCGCGGGTGGATCGCGAGTGGGTCGCGGGTGGTCGCGGGTGACTCGCGGGTCGGTTGCGGGTGGGTCGCGCGGTAGGTCGCGGGCGGTTCGCGGGCAAGTCGCGGGTGGGTCGCGGGAGGGTCGCGGGCGGGTCGCGGGTGGGTCGTGGGCGGGTCGCGGGTGGGTCGCGGGTGGGTCGCCAGGTGGGTTGCAGGTGAGATACGGGTGGGTCGCGGGTGGGTCGCGCGGTGGGTCGGGGGCGTGTCGCGGGGTGGGCCGCGGGCGGGACGCCAGGTGGGTCGCAGGTGAGATGCGGGTGGGTCGCGGGTGGGTCGCGGGTGGGTCGCAACAACAACATCACCAACACTAACACCAACACCAACAACAACACCAACAACAACAACAATCAGTTTAAGACTCTTCGCTCTTACTGGCACGCGTGTCTTGCATTCAGTGTACCCAACCCTCGATACCCGCCCACTTCGTCTTCGATCGCACCCCCTTCCGGGGGGGGAATATCTTCCTTGTCGGCCACTGACTGAAATGCGAAGTTCTCTGGAGCGAAAACGCCGCTCCTGAATTCGGGGGTCTCTCTGGCCAGGGTCTCTCGGAATACAGATTGAGAAATGTCGAACGGTAACCCTTGTCGCCGTGTCTGGGCCTCCGCAAACTTGCCTGCAATACGTGAAAGTCTCGAGCGAGAGCGCCACTCTTGAGTTTGGGGGCCTCTGGCAAGGGCCTCTGCGAATGCGGATTGAGGCAGAATCGAACGGGAGCACTTCACGAGAGAGACTCCGTGGCTGGGCCTCCGCCAACTCCAACTTGACTGAATTGCGAGACAGTCTCGAGCGAGAGCGCCGTTCCTGAGTTCGGGGGCCTCTCTGGCCAGAGGGTTTCGGGGTAAAGTGTGAGGAAGTATCGAGCGGGAGCCGTTGTCGTCGCAGCCAGGCCTCCAAGGGCACACTTTTACTCTCAAGCCAACGCTCGCGCGGGAACCTTGTTTTCAGAGAACATGTAGCCGGCGTCGAGGCGAGAGCGCGCGGAACCGTTTCCGGAGATCTGCGATCAGTATTATATAAAAATTCGTATTCAACAACAACAACAACAACAACAACAACAACAACAACAACAACAACAACAACAACAACAACAACAACAGCAACAACAACAACAACAACAACAACAACAACAACACATGACAACAACCAACAACCAACAACCAACAACCAACAACCAACAACCAACAACAACAACAACAACAACAACAACAACAATCATGTTAAGATTGTTCGTTCTTATCTGCTCGCGTGCCTCTCAACACGTATATGGCGGGTTCTCGTTTGTTCTGTTACCGGCCTCTTGACCCCCTATCTCCCCCCAGCACCGGGGGCGACCCCAGCAAGGCCATCCTGACCACAAACTGAAGATGTTCTTTACGGCGCTGGTTCTCAAAAAGCAAGCTTTCGCCTGAGACATCCTAAGAAAAATAAGATGTCGGAGATCGGGCGTCGGACATCCAACATGGTGTGGAGGAGCGTTTCGCGTTAGACATCCTCACCAAAACTTGGTTTTGGATATTATCCTAAACCCTCGATAACCGCCCTCTTCGTTTTCGATCGTACCCCCTTTGGAGCAGATCTTCCTTACCTGCAACTTGTATATCGTGCAGCCCGTAAGGCAGGGGAGAAGAATACGGATGGAAGGAAGGGACAAGGGGGAGGAAGGAGGATACGAGTGATGCAGCAGAAGCGGGGCTAGGAGCAGAAAACACGTGGCAGAATCAAACAGGCAAATCGGGCGGATAGACCGTAATGCTGAAGCGTGCGTCCTGCAGGCGGGTTGCTGAAGCGTCGTCCTGCATGAATAGCGAGGAAGTTTTGAGCGATAGCGCGATTTCCAAATAGATCGTGAGGAAGTCCACAGCAAAAGCGCGGTTCCTGAAGTCGAGGGCGCGGCGTCTCAGTAAATAACGAGGAAGTCCCACGCGAGAGCGCGATTCCTGAATAAATTGTGGGGATCTCCTGCGCGGGAACGCGATTTGGGAATACCGTGAAAAAATATCAGGCGGCATATCAGGCGGGAACCGCTGTTGCTGTAAACCGGGGGCCAACAACCCAATTCTGAGACGCAAGACTTTCCCTGATAAAAACTGGGTGTGATCCCCGGGCAGGGCACTTCAATTGAAAAAACACAATGTGCCCTGGAGGGGGGGGGAATCAACTATAATCATTCTTGAGAAATGAAAATTCAACAACAACAACAACAACAGCAACAGCAACAACAACAACCACAACAACAATCACAACAACCACAACCACAACAACAACCACAACAACAACAACAACAACAACAACAACAACAACAACAACAACAACGACAACGACAACGACAACGACAACGACAACAACAACAACTGTAACAACAACAACAATTGCAACGACATCAACAACAACAACAACAACAACAACAACCACCACAACAACAACCACAACAACAACAACAACAACAACAACAACAACAACAACACATACAACAACAACAACAACAACAACAACAACAACAACAACAACAACAACAACAACAACAAAAGTAACAGCAGCAACAGCAACAGCAACAACAACTGCAACAACAGCGACAACAACAATAGCAACGGCAACAGCAGCAGCAACAACAACATCATGTACAACCACATCGTTTACAACAACCTCAACAACATCAACAACAACGACAACAATCCGCAACGCGGAAGCCCACTTCAGCCACGCACCCAAGGACAGTGCATGACCGTTCGGCACCCTCGCTCTGAAAACAAGCGCGCGCCGGAGGCGCGGGGCAAAGCACGCACCCCGCCGGAGACAAACCCGGCGCCCTCCGTTTCGGCTCGCCCCGAGGGGCCACCAAAGGCAAAAAGAGGAGGGGCGGGCGCCCAGGGCCCAAAATCAAAAAACAACGCTGGCGCAAACTTCGCGGGGGGAGGGGCGAGGGTTGAGAGAGAAAAACACCCCGCCAAGGGGCGGGGGTGGCGGCCACGCTGGCACCACTTATCACAGGTTTCTGAAGAGAGACTCCATAGAATTACCCCCAGATGAAACTCTTCAAGGCATGGAAGCTGAGTTGACCTCCAGCGAAAGTCGAACGGCACGTGGACGTGGCGATTCAGTGCGCTTGCGCTATGGAAGCACGGGAGGAGGCTGCAGCTAAGAGAAGATACCCACTGGCCCACAGCACGTGCTTCCACGAAAAATCCAAGGCCGATCCAGCCGCAGAAGGAAAGGCGACGGGACACGTGAAATAATGAGGCGACGGAGATGCCCAACAGGAAGCTTTTTTTTTACAGCCGCAGGCGGAAGCGCCGGCGGCGGCGGGTCACGGTCGGGCTGCGGCCGAGACGAATTAGCCGGGCGCGCGCGGGGGCCGCGATCAGGCGGCGGTGCAAGCTGCAGCCCAGGGAGTCTGAAGGGAGACAGCCACCCAGGAAGCAGGGAGGACGCAGCCAAAATGGCGCGACGCACACCCCCAGTCAAGGATCGCGTCGGTCGACCCCAACAGGAAACACGCAACACCAAAATACAATGTCCGAGAACGAATTCAC